TGTAATGGAAGAAATGCTTACTGTAGCAGCTGGTTTTCATCTTTAGATACATGTAAGCACTTGTATCATAGTTGCCTGCTCCAACCTTATAGGCAGGGCCTTATTTTGTGTTGTCCATTGGACGTGTTTACAATTTAGACATCAACAACTGTCATCTATAACTCTCTTCTTTGTTCCGTTTTTCAAGGGTACAGATACTAATACACTGTTTCTTAATGGTGCTTGTTGGCCTAAGTTGGTGAGAATTATACATTCCCCTTTTACAGTTTTCACAGAATTAATACAATGTTTTGATTCTAGCTTTCAACTTCTTATATGTACTCTAGGTAATCAAATTTCTGATCTGTTCATTAAAGGCTTTAGGGTTTGGGGCAGGCTAAACAGTCATTTTGAGACATAATATTAATCGCTTATAAAGTGAGGATAATAATCTCCAGCTCTCACTTGGAGATTAAATGAGGCAGTTTTGCATATCCATACAAGAGGCAATTTAATCAGTGTAAGTAACTTCCCAGCACATAGTAGGGATGGAGGTCATAGTGATAAATAGCTGCTTCTCAAACTTGATTCTAAAAGGTCATTTTAAGAGACAGCTGCAAACCACTTCAATTTTATACCACAGTGATGGGAGGGCTTTCTGACTTTGCAACTCCTATCAACAGGCACTTTGAGCCAGGGAAACAATACTGAGGCAGGCTTGGGCTCATCCTTGTAAGTCAGCAAAGTGAAGAATAATTGTTCAGATGTTTCTAGCTCTCAGTGGGTGCAGTCTTATGCAAGAGCCACATTTTACAGAATGCTGGCTGCCGTCATGACTCGGGTTAAACACAGACAAGTCCTTATATCTTGGTATTGCTCAGTTCACTCATGATATATTCATCACAAAAGTGACGGGGTTCCCACAGGGTGGCAAGTCATGTTCTAGTAACTGGGAAGGCAGAGTGTGAACAAGGCAGGCAGTGCTCACACCCTTATGAAGTGTCCACTTTGGAAAGAAACTGGCAGTAAAAATAATGACCAAAAGTAACCCACAGAGAAGTTTTACACCACATAGCCAAAGCTTATTACCTTGCAACCTCTTAACAACACCCTGGCAAGGCAGACTCAGGGCAAGTCATGTCGTATGGAAATGAGTCCTGAAAGTCTGACCTGCCCCACAGCACTCCTGGGAGACAGGAATAGAGATGAGTCTGGGCTTTCCCAGCACCACGAAGCAGCCTCAGGGATACTGCTGGGGCCAAGAATGCAAAATAAATAAATCTTCAGTTTCCTCATTGTAAAACAAAGACAATCCCTCCCTATTGGGGTCATGAGGATTAAACAAGCTAATAGAAGAAAAGCACTTCAAATGGTACCTTACACTCAAGGTTCCTTAAAAACACATGGCAGCTGTTGTCAAGAAGCTCATAGAAAACAAATAACCACAAAATGGGGTAATGGAAATACTTCTAGGAGGTGCTAGAAGCTTCTGGAAGAGGGAGTGACTAATTCTCTTTTGCAAAAGGAGAGAAAGAATCTAGATGGGTTTGCCATGGGGCCAGGGTACTGGCAGGAGGAGAGGAAATAGCACATTCCCGCCTCAAAGAGCAGGGCTCATGGTGGGGGGTGGATCCTAATTGTTTCTTCTGGTAGGAATATGAGTGCCCTGGAGGAGGGGCGAGAGATGAGCTGGCTAAGCCCAGAGAATAATCCCCTTTTCTATGGCTGTCAGGAGCTCTGGGAGATGATGAGAGTATAGGAAAGGCAGAGGAAACCTCCAAGGCCCAGGCCCATACGCTGTGGGCCATGTGGACTTCCATCATCTGAGAGGTGAAACCCCAGTCGAGTGCCAAATTGCCTCTTCAGGCTCCAGCCTCTCCCTACTGTGGACTGTTTGCCTGTCTGGAATGAGATAATTTGTCAGACACCAGCTGCTGATCATTCTTTCCTCATGGGCACATTTATTATTATGTTACAATGCGCATGAAGAATCTCTACCATCACTGGAGTGAAAATGATTAAAATGTGGGGATTTTTGGTGTGTATGCATATGTGTGTTTTGTGCAGAAATTCTCAAGCCTTCCTTCTGCCAGAGACAGCATTATTGGTCATGCCCTGTGTTGGGGGAGCAGACTGGGGGAGTCCTCATAATTAACAAAACAACCAGCGGAGTCTCCCAGGGTACCCAGCCAGGGAAGGGGGAGGACTGTGTGGAGCCTTTGTGATGAACCCAGGACTTCAGCAGCCAAGGACACTGGGCTCTACATCTCTGAAAAAGTGCAGAGGATGGGCAGGCTGGCTTCTAGAGCTGCACCATGTCTAATTATGTACCAGGAGGCAAGAAAAGGTGTAGGTCTGTCTTTCCAGTTCAGAGAGAGAAAAAAAATACGTTGTGTCTCGCATCTAAGAAATGAACAGGCTGACCTTTTCAGAGCGTCTGAAAGAAAAAACCAGATGTATTTCTCAAGAGTCACTGTGACTGAAGGCTTGCATTGTGCACTCACATAAAGGGAGAGCGAACCAGAAACCAGCAGCTGATGATCTGAAGCCAGGCTGTGCTATTGTCCAGCACACAAACGTTCTACAAGGACCCAGACCACCATGCAGTTCTGTGCACAGACTATGGCCGTTGCGGGGTGGGCAGCGAGGGCTTTTCTTTCCTCCTTTCCTTTCTTCCCTTCCTGAAACCTTTTCCTCCCAATCCCTTTGCAGTTGCTCACATTCAACTGTTAGCAATTATTCCCATTGACCCTTCTGGCTCTCCAAATGAGGTGTGGGTTCTGAAGGTCTCTTCTTTGTACCTGACAATCCCACGTTACAGGCAGGCTCCAGGGAGGAGGTGAGGTCTCAGCCCCCTAGGGACAGTCACCAGCAAGAATTGAGTGGCTGTGATTTATTTTCCATGGAGCAAAGTCAAAGCAAGGCAACTGTGTGCTGGGAGGCAGATAGGAGAATCCTTCCAGCCTCATCAAGGTTTTCTTCCCCATTGTCCCTGGGGAGGCTCAGGGCAGGGCTGGTGTTGTTGAGGGGGAAGGGAAAAAGAGGAGCAAGATGAGAAGGAGGAGGCAGCTGAGTGAGGCCTTTCTCCTTCCAGCTCAGTTATTTTAGTTTTGCTCTTACAGCGTTTGCCTTCCTTAGTGTGAGTGGATGCATTTCAACTCCCCTACTAACTGTTAAGTGCCCGAAGGCAGGCGCTTGTCTTCCTGGCCTCTTGTCTTTCCATTGTCCCCACTTTTATATTCCTACCAAGTGTGCTCTCTGTAAATGTCTGCTAAATGGAATTAACTCTTTACCTCTGAGATCATTGGGTTTGGCTCCTCATCATTCAACGAACAGCACCTCCTAGCATGAAGTTCCTTGACTAATGTGAAGGGACCCCACCTAGGGAACTCTAACATTTTTATTTTGCTGATTTTTTTCGTGTCTCTAGACCTTTGAACCACATTTCTTGGCCAGTAGGCAAAAACACAGTTCAGCTAACAAAATGAAATCATAGCACTGTATTCTTTTAAGTGGTCTGAGTATATTTGTATGCAAGTCGATTTGCAGTGGACTAAATATTCCAGAAGCAAGATCTTATTACCTGTATAATTGGGATCAGAAATCCTACCACCCCATGGCCAGACACAGGACTGCTCTGGGGCCCAACCTCAGTTGTTTTCCTCAGATTACAGGTTAGTTATACTCTGTTTTATATTTGCTGTAGTCCTTTTATCAGAGACAATTCTGATCATATTTATGATTGCTCTTTATCTCTTTCTTCCAAAAGACTGTAAGTTCTATGTAATATCAGCAATAATAACAACAACTATTTATTGAGTGCTTAGTTTGTATCAGGTACTATTTTACAAGCTTTGTGTGTATTTTCTTACTCAATTTTTCATATCGTGGAAGTGTACACTGGGTGCCAAGAAGTGCCAATGCTGGCACTACTTGGAATTTAAGAAATGAAATAAATTATTGACACATTTATACTTTCGTTGCAAAGGAGGGATGGTTATACCTTTCCAAGAGTGCAACGAATGAACTAACACAACATCCTGGAAAAAGGAATGTTATCAGAAAAACATCAAGTCAAAGGAATTTCTTAATGTTTTCTTGAAACTATAGGTGAACTTCGGTTTGTGGAATAAACTGTATAGACCCTAGCTTTTTTGAGATATATTTTATATGTTTACCTAAAATGAATCAGAGAGTAAAGCTATTTTGGGAAAACTCAGTTTTGAGATCTTTTGTTAAGCAAAAAAAAAAAAATCATTTTGTAATGCAAGTAAATCACCCCCCCATAGCAATCACTGGTAAGAACGTTACAAATTAGCATTCTTCAAAGTGCTTTCCTACCAGTAGAGCCATGTGCTTACACATAGATTTTTCTGTGTCATTATGTTACTTGGTAGATGGAGCCTCTAGTATTTCAGATCTGTCTTAGTCAATTTCTTGATGCTGGGACAGATACCTGACCTGGGATTTAAGGAGCAGAGGTTATTTGGCTGAGGGTTTCATTGGATTTAGCCCATGATGGGCTGACTCCAAGATAAAATCATCGTGGCAAAAGGGAATGCTGGAAGAAAGCCGCTCAGTTCATGGCGAACAGAAAGCAAGCAGGGGCACAAGAGCAGAAAGCAAGAGGCAAGGGACCAGACATATGGCACCAAGGCCACCTTCCATAGCTCATCCAGACGCATGCAGTAGGGTGCTCCACCAGTCTCCCAAGCGGTTCTCAAGCTAATCAAGTTGGCAGTCTAATTTAACTGTCAGAAGATCTCTTTTAAAGAAACTTAAATACTGGGAAGTAAACATTCCCATTTAACACACAAAGCAACTGATGATGATGTGATTTAGTCCGAGAGAATCCCTTGGAAGCTCCACATCTGAAGCGTCTCCTCAATTATATAATAGTTTTGAATCGTAACCTGCAACGATTTAAAGTCAGACTGACTTGCTAGGTTGTACGCCAATCACAGACACATGTTTCATGTCTAGATTCATTAATTTATTAAAAAACACCTATTGAAGGCCTTCTGTTTGCCAGGCACTCTTCTGAAAAACAGAAATAAAACAGAAAAAGCCCAGTTACCAAGAACTGTTGTTACAGCCACCCCATCCAAAATGGTAGCCATTAAAGCCATGTGTGCCTAAATAAATTAATAAAATATTTAAAAGTTAAAACTTCAATGCATCAATTTCCCCAGCTAAACTCAAGTACTCAAATACTTGAGTTTCAAGTCTGCTGGTCACCACATATGTCTAATGGCTGGTATTCTAAATGGTGCAGACACAGTGTTTCCACTATCTTACAGAGTTGTATCAGGACTGCTGAAGATGGATAACGAGCAAATATATAATGTGTCTGGTGGTGATCAAAACATTTGTGAAATGTCAAAAAATAGGGCCAAAGGATGAACAGAAGGACAAGGTAGAGCTGTTTACACAGGAGGGGTAGACAAGAACCTCTGAGCCTTGGCTTGAATGAAGAGATGGAGTGTGGGTCCCATGGGCACATGGGGAAGAATACATCAGGTAGACAAGTGTTCTGAATAAGGACTGACAGGCAGCTGGCTTATGTGTTCAACCAGTACCAGGGCAATTCTCTGGTTGGAGTGGGGAGTCCGAACAAGGAGACAGTGATTGGGGGTGAGGTTAGAATGGGCAGCTGGGCCAGATCACACAATGCCTTCCTTGTCAGCCATTTAGACCTCAGCTCACCAGGAGAGCTGATCACAGTAGATTGGAGCTTGGTCTCTTCTTCCTCTCCTGTGCCTTATAATTCATTACTCTGTGATAAGATATCTCTTATTTGTTTCTTATATTCTTGAGGAAATTAGAGCATACAGCAGCATTTTGCCACAGGTGCCATGAGGCCACGACTATTTTGTGACTGTGGATTTGACGGGTCTGTGCCTGTTCAGTAGGCATGACAGCTGGGAGACTGGGACTCTGCAGAAACTTTTGCCTTCTGACTGGAGAGACAATGGGGTGATAATGAAAGTTCCTCAGAACCACAGTTTACTGTTTATAGGATAATGGTGATGTCAGATTTTTCTCTTTTAGTCACTTATTTATTGAGCACTTACTTTGTACTCAGTAGTATGCCCAAAAATGAGGTGTTCCAGGACAGCAGACTTTCTGTACTAAAACCAAGTAAATCTTGAGCAATTTGGGATGAATTCATTAGACTATTTGTGGACGACACTGTGACTCCAAAGATAGATGCTATCTTTGCATCCAAGATGTCACAGCCTGATAAGACAGATGATACAAAATTCAAAGTGCTTTGTTGGAGGGAAACACGGCTGTTCTTGCATGCTGCATTACCTCGAGGCTTAGGACAGTGAGGAGGATGATGGAGGACTTCCTGGCAGAGAGAGGATAACCAGCTTGATTCTGGAAGATGAGGAAAGATGCCTGCCTTGTAGCCCCAACTGTAATGCCTTCTCTGTGTCTTTGTAGAGATTCATAATAAGTAGACTGTTATGCTCCCACATGTCTGAGTCTTCCTAACAGAGAACCAATGCCTCCCCTGAGCTCTGAGATTCTACTGGTTCCCAAATATCTTAAGTCTGATTGCTTTGTTGGGTTAGGAAGCACCAGAGGGAAGGCAGGGACTACATATTTGTTCATAGAGGTATCAATATCTGGGCAAAAGGGGGCTATTAATCACATCTGTAATTCTTTCTTGGCATAAAGAGAATTTAAGGGCATCCATGAGAGTATGTATTCATTTAAATTCGTGGGACAGAGGAGTCAGGAGGAAGGCTTTTCAAAGGCATGCTGTATCTTGCACAGTGAGTGCATTTCTCAATGCTTTCTCAGAAGCAGACATTAAAACCTGCAGCACAGTCATTTAGAATTTCAAAGGTTTCTTCTTCAGGGGGTGGGACACAAAAGACACCACTGTTACTCACATAATGCTGGGATGGTGGGGAACAGCAGCACACCATTAACAAGACAGGTCAGCAGGCCTCTACGGAGAAGGCAAGAGCTATTCTGCCAGCATAAAGAAGACGCCTCATCACGGTTGCTTTAAAAAGATTATTATCATTATTGCTTTTTAAAATTCACTCCTGCATTCTACCTAGGTTGGGAGAGCTTAACAGAGGAAAGAGAATTTTTAAAAGTAGTTCGTAGATCACTAAGAATCACAAAACACTCAATATTCTCTCCCTTCCTCCCTCTCATTCCCTCTCCCTCTCCCTCTCTCCGCTCTCTGTCTCCCTCTCTCTCTTTCTCCATCTCCCCCCCAACTGTATCTCTCCCTCCCTCCCTTTTAAGGGTGTCAATCAGAATTGAGAATAAATCCAGCACCTAATTCAAGAGATCCTTCCTTTCTTAAGGCAGAGAGATCTTTCAGGAATGCTCTGTGTGGTTTTAAATGGAGCCCAAATTCCAGCCAATGGTTTGAAGGACCAAATAAGCCGAAGCTTTTTACAGACAATACTGCTGGTCTTCCAACATTATCTTGCATGGCTTCGCCTGTCTTGCCTCTCCTTTGTTTTGGCATTACATGAAGTGAATGCCACAGAACTAAGTTGGAAAACCAGGAGCCCAAGCTGCAGGAACAGCTAGCAGACAACATTGTCTCTGAACTGCTATTGTTTCTATTTTAGGAGCACGTTGAGTGATTAGCTTGGGTAACAGTAACATCACATTACCTTGCACAGGCTGGAAATGTCTTTCAATAAGGAGGCAACACCGAGGCCATGTGATACAATCCCATAGACAGAGCCAAGTGGAATACATCAAAGAGAGCCTTGATGCAGATGTTTCACGCAGAAGAAAATTAGGTCAGAGACCACTTCAATTTCAGCTTCTGCCAGCCTCGTTTGAGAGCTTCCAGTGAATTCGTAATGAATAGCTTCTAGGGCACTTTTCTCTCATTCAGTCACAGACTGCCACAGCCAGATGAGCGTTCCATGTGGAATCTTCTCTCATTATTTAAAACTGCTACTTTGTGTTCTGAAATTCCAGAACCCTTCCCATGTACCACAACTCTGGGCCTGAAACAAAAAGACTCCCAAAATACAGAGAGACATGACTCTGTGTCATATTCTCCCGTGCTCTCTCTTTCCATCCATCCTGTACATACATGTTTTTTAATACATCCCCAAGCCCCCTTTTCATTTGCTTATGCAAGTGCAGGCACGATTGCTGAGGAATATTAGAGATGTCAGGCTTTTTAAATCTTACTCAACTCTAAAGAAGCCGAGGGTCTATAGATGACCAAAATGCTCTGTTGGCTTCTTGCAAGGAGTGTGCATTCATGAGTGAGTGTGGCGTGCATGTATAAAAAAAAAAGAAAGAAAGAAAAAAAATCCTTTTCTCTGAAAAGAGAAGGGCAGTGTGACCTCAAGGAAAGTGAATGATGCATCTTTTCCCTGCCCACCCCAGCCCCGTCTCACATGTTATTTATTATGTTGGAAGGTTAGAATTGAGGGCGTCCTGGTGTCTTCTTTTCTCATGTACTCTTACTGCCTACCCTTTCTGGGTTTCACGCTGACAAATCCTTGCTGATTGGAGTGGGGGTATGAGGAGTGGATCGCCTGAATTCATGCCAGGAGAAGAATCATTAGATTCTAAATGCATTTGGGAGAGAGGGTGCAAAGAGGCAGCCGCAGAGATCACAGAGGCTCCTCAAAGCTGGTGACACTCCGATTTCCCATGGGAAAGGACATAAAGTGGCAGCTCCAGCTCCAGCTCACCGTGACACGATCGCTTTGTCTTTGCTACCTCCAAAGCACCAGGGCATTCATTAACTGGTTTTCTCAATTCTAAGGTTGGCAAGGCAGTGGCAGAAAGCGTCAGAAAAGCACTGGAAGGTTTGCCTCTGCTTCCACCCATCATGAGAAGCCACCAGGAAGATGTTGCTGTTCTTGTCCTGCCATTTGCTATATCTGGCATTAAAAGATGCAAAAATTCTAGTCTTTCAGCCTGTAACTGCCTCCTAGTCTCCTCTCTGCATGCCTTCTCTCACAATCTTTTTCATTCTTAAACACACACACGCACACACACACACACACACACACAATTAAAATTTCTGAGGAGTGCAGAAGCAAGGGAGGCTGTTTCAGTGGTGTACACAGGTGACCTGATAGATACAGAGACCTAGATTTAAACTACTCCCTTGTGCGAACTTGGACAAGCAGCTTTCTTCTCTAGGTTCAGTGTCTTCACCAGGACAAATACAGGTACTGTTGATCCCTGAGCCCCTCGCAGCTTTGAGGCTGACTCAATAAATAATCTCTCTCTTGGGTTATAAGCAATCAATGTCACTCTGAAACTGTCTAGTGGGGGTTGTAGTCTCAGATCTACTTCCTGAGATGCTAACAAAGACTGTACTCGAGGCCCGGGATTTAGCTCAGTGGTTCCTCTGTCTGCCTTGCAAGTTCAAGGTCCCATGTCCTATCCCCGGTACCAAAAGCAAATAAACAAACAAACAAAGACTTCGATTGGAGTCTTAGCATTATGAGCACAGTCACGTGTCAGTAGGAGTTCAGATTTCTTCCAGATACTGCAATGGGTGACAGCTCAACCCAGTTAAAAAACATTGTCTTGGAGTTGGATATGATTTGGAATGTGATATGGCTGTGTGAGCTCAGGTAAGTCACTTGGCCTCTCTGGTCCCAAGTTTGTTTCATTGTAAAATAGGGATAATACTTGTTATGGAAAGCTGTTAAACTAATTAAACCATATGAAGGCAGAAAGCTTAGCCTGGTATATAGTAGGTACTTAACAAATATTAGCATGATTCTTACTATTGTTATTAAAATTAATAATGGAGACATGAACACATCCATGCGGTAGAGGCACAAAGGATTTAGGGTAGTGAAAACGTTTCACACACTACTTGATCTGCCCCACATGGAGAATCTTCTAAGACACACATACACACGCATGCACTTAGTTTCTGAAGGCAATAGCAACCAATTCTAGTTTCCCTAAGACAATGCACTTAAAATACATAATAACGTTTAATGTGACATAAGTGCTCAACAAATGTTCATTACATTCATTCTTATTTACAACATCTTTCAGTACAGTGAATCCTAGGTTATCACACCCCATTCTCCTCTCTGAAGAGGCCTCCATTTAAGAGACAACATGGGGGAGAGAAAACCTATGTGAGTAGGAATCAAACCTGTCAATTTGATGTTGAGTTCTTAATCACAAAAGCACAGCACTTCAGAGCTTGGCGGGAGGGAAAACTGAAACACAAGAGGTCACGTGGCTTGATCAAGGCCATGGAGGAGCCCCTGTTCTTACTGAGTTCTCTCCAGCCTTAGCTGTCACAGAGCTAAGTTCCAGCTGAGGCCATCAATGTGAGAATGAACGACAACGTCCAGGTGTTTTCCCCCTGCCAGCCTCCCCTTCCCAGCACCTTCCAGATTTCCTCCACAGTATGGCCGAGGGTTACCAACATGCAGTGTCTTCAAGGCTTTCTGCCACCAAGAGCACCACTGCCAAAGTACAGAATTGCTTTTCGGTCCCTCCCAAGGCCTGGAGGACAACACAGCCCTAGGAAGGGGCTCCATGGCCTGTCGCACTGAGCAGGATATACTAGCACTGTGACTGAGAGTGTAACCCACAACAGCTGCCCAGAGTTAACCTGTGAAACTCAGGCTCTGTGTGCTGGAATGTGGCCATGGGGATTTATAGAAACTAGAAAGGCCCAAAGAGGGAGAGAGAAACATCCCTTTGTCCTCTTCCACACACAGTTCATTTGCTCACTTACATATTCAGCTATTTAATTATTCTTTACTGAACATAGAGGAAAGGGGGCTTATAAGATTTCATTACTTAGTGAAAGAGACTATATGAATAGAGATATAAAATAGTTATTTTAACCCAGCGTGGGCAGTGTATCTAAAACTGTACCTTGACTTTGTACAGTTGTTCTATGTATGTATATATATATAT